ACATTGGAACGCAGTGAGACTCCTACAGAGTCTCTCTCTGGTTATGTGAGTGTGTGTGTGTGTGTGTGTGTGGTCCGATGAAGACGGTAACACTCAGTGACAGTGTCTGGGAGACAGAAATGAAACTGATGTCACATTTTTATAAATCACTACAGAAACTTTCATTTTTCTTCATCAACAACCAGTAAACCCCCCCCCAGCCGTCGTCTGGACCAGGGCGGGGTCTCACCCTGGTCAGCTCTCCACTCCATCACAGGTTCACATACAGTCATACAGTTGATGTCACATCACACCTACATTCACACCTACATTCACACCATCTTCAGTTTAGAGTGAATAATTAAACCAAACCAAACCAAACCAGACTAAACCAGACCAGACGTGTGTTTGTATATTTTTGTATCACAAACCTTCGTCCACATCAAGGACATAAACTCTAGTCAGTCGTCCCAGGGGAGGATCAACACCCCCCCACTCCCCCCCGTCTGTCTGTCTGTGGGTCTCTATGTCAGTCAGCGGTTCTTCTGAGGTCCAGAACCTCAGTTAATTCTCTTACAGCCCCGTCTGCATTATTCATCTTCCTCATGAAACATTCAGCAGCATCACTGACATCATGTTGTTGTCAATACGACTGGAGGACGTGTTGTTTTTAGAAAACTTGAGTCGACTCAAACAGCTAACAGCTAACGATTGCCTCGGGTTGAGCCACACAGAGGTTCCTTAAAAGGATCAATGAGTGCTGAGGTCAGAGGAACTGCCCTCAGCCGGGGCAGGGGCAAATGATGTCGACCGATGTTTTGATTTCTCCACAGAGCCACCACCGTCAGTCAAGGTTTCCTGGAACTTCAAGGACCAGGACTTCAAGGACCAGGAAACAGAGCCGACAAAAAGTAACCAGAAGGTCGGACCAGTGAAGACCACAGGTGTAACAGTGAGGGGGTGGGAGACAGAGTGAGGGGGAGGCTGATGATCCACTCCTCACTGACCTACATAAGAGGAGAATCAGCGCCCCCTGCCCCCCCCCCACAGTGAAGAGTCAGCCTACAGTGTGTGTGTTGGCACAGGTTGGACTCCAGATGCCCTTCATGAAATAACACACCTCCAGTTACACACCTCTGCAGCGGGAGAAAACAGACCACCCCCCCACC